CAGGAAGCACCAGGTGATGGGATGATCACTCACAGCCTGGGCACACCCGCAGGTGAGTACTGGAGCTGCAGGTTTCCAGCACCACCCAGTAGTGGTCTGGTTCCTGGCAGTTCCTGGCTGCTGGAGACACCCGCAGGCGAACACAGGAACTGCAGGACCTGGCTCCAGCGCCACCTGGGGGTGCTCTGGATCCTGACAATAGGTCATGCAAAGTCAAGAAAGAAGAGAGGGTGCGATCATGTTATCTTAGTGCTTTAGAAGTGTCTAAGGTTGCATCAAGAATGGCAAATCACTAAGTGCCCCTGACGCACAGGAGTAATCGTCCGGAGGAGGGAATTGAGAAACTTTTTATGACCAGTGTTCGGTGTGTATAGATTTACCAAGGTCATTAAATGATTATTTAGCGTCGCCACCAGAACAATGTACCTACCCTCCCGATCTATGATTAATTCATGTTGCTGAAAAGCAATTGTACGCTTTACCACAATCATCACACCCTTCCTCTTCTTCTCAGCATTTGCAAAGAAGTAGTGGGAGAAATCTCTGTGTTTACAAGTTGGAGGTTTATTTTTATGAAAATTAGTCTCCTGGACACAGAGAACATTACAATAAAGGTAGGCAGCTTCTGGTTATCCCGAAGCACCTAAGTGACCTCCGCATATTCCCTCCTCTTCTAGGCGGTGGCAGGTGAGATGTCAGCAAAGAGTAATATGGTGGAATAAGGATCAGGAAGTGATTGCATTTACTTGGCCATTAACATCACCTTTTCTTTGACATGAAAGAAGTGGATTCTGGCGATGATGTCTCTTGGAGTCGAGGCCGGCAGATGTCTAGGTTTAAATAATCTGTGAGCCCTGTCGATGATTAGATCAGGCTGCGATTGTTGCGGGAGCGGTGTAGCTAGCAGGGCCTGTAGAAACGAAGGGAGGGCAACAGCATCAACTGATTCAGGGATCCCCCTGAACTTGATGTTGTTACGTCTAAATCTGTCTTCCAGATCCGCCACTTTGTCTTGAAGTTGAATCAGGCGCTGTTGCTGGGCAGAATAAGCCTCTACAAGGTCGTTAAAAGCAGACGCATAATTACTCAAGTATGATTCCACTCGATCCGTGCGGTCTCCTAACTCAGACACCTGAGACGTTAAGGAGTGTATTGATGACTTAAAGTGACATTAAACCCTCAGATTTTTTAACATAAACCAATACTGTAATGTGTGCCTTACTGTAATCCATGGTTGTTTCCCTTCTCTTTGCTGCTCTTCCTTTTAAATCATCATGTCTTCTCCTGCTGGGCAGAACTTCCCTTTTCAGCTCAGGGCCTCTTCCTGTAGTGCTGGCTCAGATTACAAGCCTATACAAACGGATACACAGACACCGTGTATCCATTCCTGAGACAATGCAGTCTGCTGCAAAACAGAAGTTCTGCAGAGCATGAGAACAGATACAGATTTAAAAGGAAGAGCAGCAAAGAGAAGGGAAACAACCATGGATTACAGTAAGGCACACATTACAGTATTGGTTTATGTTAAAAAATCTGAGGGTTTAATG